GGTTTAGGGTTCCAGGGTTTTAGGGGTTTAGGGCTTTAGGGTTTGGGCTTGAGGGTTTAGGGGTTGAGTGGTTTAGGGTTCCAAATCCCTAAAACCTTAGGCCTTATACGATGAGACCTAGAGCCCTAACACAGTGACACTGTCAAACCTCAACAAGTTGAAAACATGAATCAAACAACCCTGAACCCATCTGTCCCTATACTGCAATTATTAGTATTAGTAGTATTATTATTACTATTATGATAAACCGCATTCCTAGCATCACCAGTATTCGTATTACATAGTGCTAGTGCATATAACCCTAAGAAAAGCCGTGTAGCAATACTGGACTCATAGCAGCGATGGCAGGTGCAGACTCTGCTGCTGCAAAGGGGCTTTGCCCATGCCGCAGCAAGGATGTCCAGTCCAGCCGCTGAAACGAAACAAGAACATAGCATCACATAGAGAAAGACAGAGTTCGACGGGCCTTTCTCCAGTCGAGCTAAAAGAGGTCTTCGATGTCGTAGCGGCACCCCAGCAGGACCGCCACACTTCGGCCCGAAGGCCCTCGAAGTCCTGTTGCTTCTGACATGCCATTGCCACAATGGTCGCTTTCATATTCCGCACGTCCTTTCGAAGATCATCCACCTCCGTCTGCACTGAGTGCAAAGATCTCGGTCGGAGCATAAGCCTCAGCCCAAATGGACCTGGCAACTCGCCCGAGCACCGGGCAGCAAGCCAGCCCTCTCGCTCGGGCCGCGCACGCTCGGAGTCCTCATCTTGTCGTTCCATGCCCGCTCTGCTGTTGCAAAGCCCTTAGCCCTAAGCCTTGAATCCTAAAGCCTAAACCCAAACCCCTAATCCCTAAACCCTACACCCTGAATCCTAAACCCTAAAGCCCCCCCCCCAGCTCCGAGTTCGGTCCTCAATGAGGCGTTGCTGCAACTCCTGGCTGTTACTTCGAAGACCAGGAGGAAGAGGGGGGTGGGTTTACCTGCCATTTTTGGGACTTGGGGTTTGGGGTTTAGGGATTATCGTTTAGGGTTTAGGGATTAGAGTTTGGGGTTTAGGGTGTAGGTTTTAGAGTTCCGGGCTTAGCGTGTGAGATTTAGAGTTTGGGACTTACGTAGGGTTTGAAATCTATGGTTTACAGTTTAGGCTTGGAGGTTTAAGGTTTACTTTACTGAAAAAGTTTCGAGTTTCGGGCCGGGCGGGGCATATGAGGGAAATCCTTGTTTTGCCAAAGCACGGGAACCCCGAGGGACCCTGGCGGTATAACTCAACTCAACGAGTTGAGTTGAGTTGTGGTTTAGGGTTGCGCCCGCCAAAAACATCTCGGTGCACAGTTGGAGTTTAGGGTCTGTGGCTTAGGATTTTGAATTGGGATCGCCACTGTACAAGTGCCAGAAATCCTTCTCCTAAACCCAGCTGAGCTCCAAATCTTCGACCGGTTAATTGCAAAAAAAGGTAATCCTAACTCCCAATATTGGTGCCCCAACATTGGTACCCCCAAGACTGCCACATGAGCCTTAGTCTAAACTCCTTAAAGGGGGTTATATAGGGGATTATATAGGGGACTACCATAGGGGATTTTAAGGGGGACTACCATAGGGGATTTTAAGGGGGATACTAGGAGTTTAGACTATGGCTCACATGGTATCTATGGACCCCGGCTTTTTCGGGCTGGGGGAAACCCAAGCGACTGACGAAACCCATCAAGCCCTTGTCAGTGAAGAAGAAGCTTATGGTTTAGGGTGTTTAGTGTAGGGTTTAGGGTGTTTAGGTTAGGGTTCAGGGTCTAGGGTTTAGGCTTTAGGGTCCTGAAGCCCTGAACCCCACCAGCAAGCCCTACAACCAATACTCCGCGCTCCAAACCGTGCAGTCCAAGACCCCTACCCTAAAACCTAGACCTAAACCCTAAAGCCGAAAACATAAACCCCAACCATTAAGCCCTAAACCCTAGACCCTAATCCCTAAACCCGAAACCCGAATCTCTAGACCCGAAACCCAAATCAATGAAACCTAAACTCCAAATCTCAAACGCCATACCGCCAAGCAATAACCCTAGAGTGGCATCCTCCAAGGCAACTTGCGTGGCGTCTGGGGTATCCCGGCCCTGCCATTTTGGGATTTGTGGGTTGAGGGTTTAGGGGTTAAGGTTTGGGGCAGTTTAGGGATTGGGGTTTCGGAATTAGGGTCTATAGGGATTAGGGTTTGGGGTTTAGGTTTCGGGGTTCAAGGATTAGGGTTTAAGGACTAGGGTTTAGGGTTTGAGATTTGGGGTTTAGGGTTGCAATCATGGATGTAAGGCATAGGGGTTCCCAACACTGTGAAGCGAGTGTAAGAGGTGGTAAAAGTGGAACCCATACGTCATACTGACCCAGGTCATGGTCCATAGCGTATGGAGAAGACAAGCAGTTTCATAGACCTTGTGAAGGGGACTGAACACTTGACAGTACATGTTTGAGGTCTAGTTGAGGTACCCTGTAGTATAAGTATACAAACTATCTAGGCTCCTACAAACGAGAATAAGCTGCTCCTCCTCCTTAAGCCCCAAGAGATGTTCCCGATATACTCTGAGATAAGGACTTTTTGAGGGAGATGTTCCCAACATACTCTGATATAAGGTCTTGTGGAGGTATCCTGTGTCATAAACATACAAGGAATATAGGATTCTAGGACCATGATATTGGGAAGTATGCAGGCTCCTATAGTATCTGGATTGCCTGGCCACATGCGAGAATGCTGTAATCAGGATGCGGCAGTTGAACGGTTCTTGAAAAAAGGATACTTTTCGGAACCCTCAGGTTTGCAAAAAAAGGTCACATCAGCTTAGGGAGACAAAGTTTGGGCTTCTAGGTTCTGTACAAAAACAATGTGCACATCTTCTCAAATAATAAAACTCGGGTCCCGCCCATGCAGCATTTTCAAAGCCCGCAGAATGCCGAGTCGTCCTCGCTACCTGCATGGCCCTTGGACACATGATTCCGGAGCAACATCTGTACCCTGTATCAGATATCATAACAGAAATGCTGGATGCATCGTCTGCAGCTCCCCTAAAACCTGATAAGCCCTAAACCCTAAACCCTGAACTCCGAGCCTTTTTGGGCGAGAGCACCGTAGAAGACGCGCTCCTGCACATGTATGTCTCTACATTTTTGCCTCTCCAAGACACTCCTCAGAGCGTCTAGGGTTGAGGGGCTTAGGGGGGTTTAGGGTTTAGGGGGTTTAGCGTTTAGGAGTTTAGGGCTTTGGGTATCCCCATGTTCTAAAAAGCTACAGTCAATATTTCCCATATCTTGAACCGAAAACCACATGGACAAGAAAAGGGAAAATTTATGTGGACATGGGTGCCTTGTTAGGGAATATTCTAGGTACTACACTAGACTACTAAAGCCCGATTTCCATCCTAAGGGGTCCCTGGCTAACCCTAATATGACAGTAGCTCATATGAGCATATGAGCCATAGTCTAAACTCCTAGTATCCCCCTTAATAACCCCTATAGTAGTCTCATATGTAATCCCCTATATAACCCCCTTTAAGGAGTTGAGACTATAGTTCATATGAGAAGGCAGCACAGTTAGTCTTACTACAGCATCTCCTGTAGCATTTGACAAAGCAAAAAGGACGTATATACTGCAAGAAACCTACATACCTGATGCGTGTGAATGCACCTGGCGCACACTCTGACCGCCATAAACCAATGTGAAAAACTGCCTTAAGTAGATAGACTATGGCTTTGGGTACATTATAATAGGATCCCCATAATATACCCCATATTCTATCTACTTAAGGGGAACTATAGCCTCAACCCTAAGCCCTAAATACCTCATATTCTATCTACATAAGGGGGACTATAACCTTCCGGAAGCCTTGAAAACCGACCTGTCCAGCATGTAGCAGTTAACCTTCCTGTGTCACATATCCCTAAGGGTCCAGGGACCCAAGCAGTAGGGTATTAGGGCCCAAGTACCTGTAATATTATACATGTAGTATTTGGGCCCTAATACCCCTTTATTTCGGTCCTTGGACCCTTTAGGTATCATAGAATCTTTGCTTACGGTCTCCAAATTGCACGCCGTAAAGATACGGTTTAGGGTTTAGGTGGGTGTTTAAACCCCAATATGACTACGAAACCCTGTCTATACTAGCCAAGAACCATAACGAACAACCCTACATATCCTGAAGCCCAGCATGAGCCAAAGGCTTGACCTTCGCAAAGCAGTGGACACCCAATGTGTACAGAAGGAATCCTGCTTTTTGGACCCTTTACCCCCAATATTTACAGAAAAGTCACAGTAATTTGGAAGTCACCTTGGATAGCCCGAACCCCGGTGCTTGCAGTACATTGGGGCTGCTAAGGGTTGCGAAATGTCCTCCATCCACCATACTATGGACGGAGGAAATCTCGACCCGCTCTACGCTGCACATGGGGGATAAACGCATGTCAGGCATCCAAAACGGTGCAAGATTCATAGTCCCCCTTAAGTAGATAGAATATGGCTTCGGGTATATTATAACAAGATCCCAATATACCCCATATTCTATGTACTTAAGGGGGACCCTAAACCCTCAACCCTAAACCCTAAACCCTAAACTCCAAATCCCATATACCCTCAACCCTAAATCCTGTATACCCCATATTCTATCTACTTAAGGGGGACTTTAAACCAAACCCTAAGCCCCAAACCCTTAACCCTATATCCATCCACCCTAGGACTAAGGTTGCAGATTCTCCTTGGGAGCGCTCTCACCACCAAAGCTGAAGGCTCAGAGGTCATGGCTACAACAGGGGCCTTAAGAATTAACGTATGGGTTTAGGGTTTTAGGGTTTAGGTTTAGGGTTTAGGGTTTAGGGTTCAGGGTTTAAGGTTTAGAGTTCAGGGTTTAGGGTTTGGGGTTTAGGGTGTACTACAGGGGCCTAACTAATTACCAGCATCATTTCGAGGTCCATTTGAGGTACCGTAAACCATAATTATATAAGGAATGTGGAACCATAAGGTAATTACTTGGGCCCCTATATTATTCAGGTTAGGGGCTTAGTTGTTCAGGGTTGCGAGGATTCAGGGTCTAGGGTGTAAGTGTTCTGAACTTTGGAACTCTAGCTTAGGATTAGGGGGGTGGGTTCGAGGGCTCACAGCTTTCGGTTTAGGGCTTAGCATTGAGGGTTTGGGTTTAGAGTTGAGGGCTTAGGGTTTTGGGCTCAGGGCTTAAGGCAAAGCATGCAGTTCAGACCCTGCATTTGGCGCAACGCGCTGTGCGGATGTGAGAGCCTTGCGGCTTTCAAGCGGCAGGATTGCTATGCGAACCTGGGTTGCTGTTCAGGAACTTGAAATGAGCTACCATAATATGGGTATATAGTAGGTAATGGGGTTTCATTTCATAGGACCTTAATTTAAGGTCCTTAACAGCAACTCAGAAATTGAATATCAACTTCGCAAAAAGCTATGCAAATCTGTAAGGCCTCCATACTTTGCACCAACCCATGTGAAAGATGAACTTGCCAAAATCACAATGGTCAACTTTCCTGAACCCTGCAGCAACCCGAGAAAAAAAAATACTACATGACCTTCCCAACCCTAAACCCTGCTCCTAGTCATTCTGACCTAAATGTTGACAGCCAGCCGTCTAGAGTCGACCCAGAAGATAATTTGTTTTGAGGTTTAGGGGTTTGGGTTTTCACCCTAAACCCTATATACCCTAAACCCTAAAACCTAAACCCTGTAGGGTTTAGGGCTTAGGCGCCTACCTAAAGGCTCTTGGACCTTGACAATGGGATCCCAACCCATAGTTTTCAGAGCCCAAACTGCCCCCAGAAAGCCCCAAATAGTGGCCGGATCCCTAGGGATTAGGGTTTAGGGTTTAGTGTCTACATTTAAGGGTTTTGGGGTGTAGTGTTTAGGGTAGGGTCCTGACGTCGTGATAGGTGCTCCTTATAGGATCTGATCTTCGGTGACATGTTGGTCTGTTGGGCGTGTAGGTGGCGTTAAAGAAGCAAACTCTCTACTTGTCTGCTTCAAGATTAGGATAGTAACCCTAAACCCTAAACTCTAACCCTAAACCCTAAACCGCGTTTAGGGCTCAAGGCTCAGGTTTTAAGGTTTAATTGGGATATATGTCTTCCGGTCTATCGATGTTTGCCAAGTTGGGGCATGCAGGGATCCATATAGGAATCACTATGGCCCTAGGGGTTCACCCTAAACCCGAAACCCCTAAACCCTAAACCCCTAAACCCTAAACCCCTAAACCCGAAACCCCTAAACGCCTAAACCCCTGAACCCCTTAAACCCCTAAACCCTAAACCCTATGGCCCCATGGACCCCTGGATGTGGCCCTTCTACCACATTTCTCACAACCCGAGACCTGAAGCCCAGTTTGAAGCGTATGGTAGAGGGTTAAGGGCTTAAGGTTTAAGGGCTTAGGGTTTATAGGGTTTAGGGTTGGAGGTTTAGAGTTTCAGGGTTGAAGGGCTTCGGGTACTTGATCTGGCTGGGCGTCTTTTCGTCTCTTCTCCTATGATCTCTGTCTGCCATACTCCTGTAGCACAGAAGCCGCTCTTAAACAGAAGGATTTTCAGGGTTCAGCGTTTAAGGTTTATGGGTCTTAGAAGTTGTCAGAGCCAAGCATTATCAATCTACACTAGGTACTTATAGCTCACAAACATTCTGAAAATACTCGCATGTTTGTGTGAAGTGATTCTTTCTGGGCTGTCTGGAGCCTCAAGAGTACGGCCAGTATGATCCTTGATGTGCTGTCGTAGGAGCCTGTCACAGAACAGGGGTTGCGTGGACATCATTTTGAAAAGCTCCCATTTCTTCCCAGCCCTAGCCTGATCCAACCCTGGTCTGTGTGTTGGGCCCGGAGGCTCCACGATTCATGTACTTCGACTCTTAAACTTGCTTCGACATGATATATACCCAAAAGGGACCCATAATCTTTGAGAACAGTCCATGTAACTGGACCCCCTCAACCCTAAACCCTAAACCCCTAAACCCCTGAACCCTAAACCCCTAAACCGTAAACCCTAACCCCTAAACCCTAAGCCCCTTAAACTCGCTTTTTCCTCAGACTTTGGTGGCGTCGAAGAATCTTCCGACCTTTGGGACGCCCAGTCCGAGGTAGACCTCGGGATGCAGCGCATTGTACCCAGGGAGCCCAGCGGGGGGGGTTAGGGTTTAGAGTTTAGGGCTAGGGTTTAGGGTTTAGGGTTTGGCTTTAGGGGTTCGGGTTTAGGGGTTAGGGTTTCGGGTTTAGGGTACCCAGGGAGCCCAATACCCCTTAACTAAGGACTAATATAGGTGCTACATAGGCGTTAAGTCGGGGTAATGGAAAAGAAAATGGAATCTACTATCTAGGGTTTAGGGTTTAGGGACTTCGGGAATTTAAGGACCCCTTAACTAAGGAATTCAAGAAAATACAGCTTAAATCATGCGAGGGATCCGAGTACCGTTTAGGCTATATTCCTTACTTAAGGGATATTGGGCTCTCTGGACAAAATCCTTAGCAGGAACGTACTTTATCCAGACCTCCTTCTGGACATTTCTCCACAGAAGGCAGGGTTTTGATTATGGCTATGGTGGGTGTATACAGAGTTCTTCAGGAACTTCTTTGAGTCCATACATTGGGTGTCTTACCACAACCTAACATCCTACCCTGCATCCTAGGACTCTCCCAATCAGAACTCGAAAAGGTGAAACTAGTTGCTGTTTCTTGTGAGCAGCCAGTGTTTCCCAATTAAAGTTGGGCAGCCCAGAACCCTGAACCCTACACCCTTCAACTCTAAACCCTCAACCCCTAAACCCTTAAACCCTGAACCCTAAACCCCTGAATCCCCTAAACCCCTGAATCCCCTTAACCCCGAGATCCCCAAACCCTAAACCCTTAAAACCTCACTTCGACTTGGCAATGCCAAGGGGCGCGGTCTGCTTCATTCCGAACCTGGTGGGCCAAGCTTCATACTCCCCTCCCAATATAGGGTTATATAGGAATACACAAGAGATTATCAGGTTTAGGGTTTAGGGTTTGTAAAGGGTTTGGGGGGAGATTACCCCATATAAGCGCGAGTCAAAAGTACAAGAAAATAGAAAACACTATGAGGCTGTATACGGTCATATTGAGTGTTGAAGTAATAGTACAAACAATATATATATCGGCCCCCCCTATCATCAAACGTCCTTTGTATGTGATAACATACCACAGTGGTAATATTTGAGTATTGTGAGGCGGTTAAAATCACCCTCCTTGAAGATAGGGTTTAGGGTAGACTTTGAGAAAGTGTCAAAGCAATCCCAGTAAATCTGTAGGACAATCCTGGCTTTAGCTTAGGGTTTGGGATTCCGTTCCAGAATCTAGGGGGCACGCTCGGGCATAGCCTGAACCACAAAGACCAGACACCCCCCCCCCCCCCCAACCC